CATGGCCATCATAGGCACTCATGGTCGAGATTGCGTCCTTGCTCCTAGTAGCGATGCCATCATAGGCACTCATGGTCGAGATTGGATGACAGTTGTGGTCCGATTTGGACACACAGGCTGAAGCGTGATGGCGTTCGATACCTCCAGCCCATCGACAAGTGTTCCATCAAGGCGAAGACTTGTGATCAGCCCTTCTGGGGATCTTTGGCAGCATCTCCGTGACCAGGGCTTTGGCTTTGACCATTCAACTCATTCAACTCAAAAGCTTGGCAGAAAAAGCCCTGCCCTTGCTTAATAATGGCGCCTACTTAATCAAGTAAGGGAGCAAGCTACTAGCAATAGGAAGCTCCTAGCCAGGACGCAGGATAGCCCACGCTCGCACTAATTGGTTCCTAGAATTTTAGGGAAACTTAACTTCCGAATACTTCCGATAGTTCATTTTTCTAGTCCTGGTAGGTGTTTGTACAGAACCTTTCTTTCCCTCCAAAGTTTCCATCACTCTCTGTGGGCTCAGGGAGATACTCCTCCACCTGCTGCAGAGTTTCCACTCTGCAGCACTCACAATGGCAGCGGATGGAAGTCTATCGCCACAACTTTCTTCCAAACACCAGTGGAAAGGCGGGAGGTGTTCAAAAAGATCAAATCAATTCGGACCATTTGCAGGCTAACCATGTCATATCATCGCTACGTAGTGTTTAGCCAAAGGACCGTCCAAGCATGGGGTTTGCTTCACCAATTTGGACGGAGCTTCTGGAAACTGCATGAAGATCATGTCACCAAATGAGACCATTTTTGCCCTCAAGCTGACAGGCAGAGAGCCAAGTGCGGCCACTCCTGCAAGTCTATTGGACCATGACTTGGTGGCCTTTCATCTGAGATTCAGGGCATTTGGAGAGGACCTACGGAGTATAGACCGCTGTCACAATAGGTCAATCCAAGGGAGTCTCATAATCCCAAATAGCGAGCATGAGTTACAGTACAAAACGTGAGCTTTTGGTTCCCGGCAGTGAATTTCAATAAGCTTTGTGCTCTAACTAACCAAGCCCCAGACTTGATATACAAGCGCACGTTTTCAAGGGGATATGCAACTGACTCCGTAGTGGCCGCAGGCAGTGGGTGTGTGGTAGCCAATCACTTTGCTAGCATAGCTGAGGATCACTTCTGATTTGGAGGATGATCGTGGCAATAAGCTGCAGAACCTGCGGGATGCGGCACAAGGAGCCAATGAGAAGCTGATGGAGTTCTATTCTCGCATTGAGGACTCTTGAGTGTGCAACCCTGTAAGGCTTTACTTGTACACAGAGACTCACGGCAGATTGTTGTACTTGGGAGTTTTCATTTATCGTGTGCAAACTCGAAGAACACTTAGACACTTAGGAGTATGTTGTGGTCCGGTTGCCTGTTGCAGGATGCTCCTGTCCTGGCCAACATCATCATGGGAGACTGGATTAGCAACACCACCAGCTATTTGGAAGCTCTTCTAAAGAACTACTGCGCAAGAACAAGAGCCACAAGAGTTGTGCACCCACCAAACTGGTAGCACGAAGACACAGAGATGTTATACCATGTTATATTCATGTTATACAAGGGTTTTTCTTTGATTGATTTGGTCCAAGATTTGTTGGCCATTGACAAACACATCCATCAGGAAGTGGCGCTCCGCTCCACTTTGGGGCTAAAGAGCCCCCAGAAGAAGCCAGAGCACCAGCAGGATGTGCGTCAAGATCCGAAAGAGAGAACCAAGCGCAACTTGTTTGCTTGTATTTCAGATT